GGAAGGGAAAGTTTTTAGTGTGTTTTAAATTCAAGGTGAGTCTGCATGGGTGACGCCTTATGCTGACCACTCTATTTCAAGAATTGGAAGGATGGTGTGTGTATTTTGAAAATGGTCTAGTTCATGTACTGAAATAGGACAGAAGCTCAGACTACCTCTTAGTAAGTGCTCACTCTGCCCTTTATGTCTCTTAAAAAGACTCATTTTGTTTGAAATGTTTCTAAGTCTCTATTTCTTGGTACATCTTAGTACTGGAATGTACAAAGCCAGTTTTTTTGTTTGTTTGTTTTTTTTATTTTATTTTAATAGAGTGCAGTTCAAGTCAGTTTAGCTGGTTTTCAGTGTCAGTGTAGAGCAAATGGTAGTCAACATTTTTTTCCTAGGAATTGTTCATGCGTTCAGTACTTAATAAATTCTTATGGGTTTGAATGGGACTTACTGTGGTGGGATCTGAGCAGGTGATTAAACTTCTTAAGTGTTGTTTACATAAAGTGCATGAAGAGACATACTGCACAATTTTTCAAGATTCTGGCAGTAATAGGATTCAGAATATGTTGGAGTAGAAGAGGGGAGTAGATAAATATAAAGAATATATTTTTAACTTCCAAAGTAAGAACATTTAAAAAGCAAATATAATTGGCCACCACATGCGGGTTTTGCATCGTTTCCAGACCATCCTGCGCATGACTCTCATATTAATTTTCTGAAAATGTGACTCTGGCCACCTGTTCTCGCTCCTGGAGAGGAGAAGGCCAGGGCCTTCTGTCTGTGCCTGGCAAGGCATGGTCTATGCCACCTCCCCGTGGACCACATCGACCCCTGGCCTCACCTCCCACCACTTCCCTCCCCTGGGGCTGTGGGTCCCTGCTGCCACCTGAGGTCTCCTTGCAGTCGCACTCCTGAGTTCTTCCCTGGAAACGCTCTCTGCCTCACTGACTGTGAACAGGCCCAGCGTGTGTGCTCCTCTCTCTCGAAGGCTTTTCCCACGCTGCCCTTCCATGCAAAGTGTGTTCTTCCCCGTCTGCCTCCTGGCACTTGCTTATCCTTATGACCCTCACGGATGCCATTAACTCCCTTTACTCTGCTCCTTCCTGTACTGACTAGCGCGGCCCTTTATATGTAGGCAGCTGGTGTGGGGCGCATGCTTTTCAGATCGATTTAACTTTGTAGCATCATGGAGAGAAAGTGAGATACAGACAAGAAAACTGAGGGTGACTTTGAAGGAATTATTGTAAAAACCCAGGTGGAGGAATTCCTGTGATCCTCCAGTCCCTCTGGGAGCCTCATGACAGTGTTTGTGATCTGTGTATTCTGTTCAGAAGGGCAGTCCTATTGAAGGTAAACATCAGGGAATTTCTGCCAGAAAGAGTATGTTTTCAGTATGATGATGCTCTGAGACCGTTTGTGCCTGTCAGAAGTAAGATCAAAGCCATTTCTGCCATTTCCATTCATGTCTTTAACATCATAAGTTTCTTCCTTCGCTCTTTTTGGTTGTGATTAACTTAAGATGGGAATTTATATTCTCACCCACCCCTTTTTAGTACAGGTTGAGCATCTCAAATCTGAAAACCTGAAATCTGAAATGTGCTCAAAAGAGCACAGACATGATGCTCAAAGGAAATGCCCATTGAGGCATTTTGGATTTGAGATGCTTGACCAGTAAGTATAATGCAAATATTCCAAAAAAAAAAAAAAAAGTCTGAAATCTGAAGCACTGCTGGTCCTGGGCATTTTGGAGATGGGGATGCTCAACCCATATGACCTTCCAGAGGAGTGACATCTATCAATCAAGCAAGAGTCATCCTGCAGTACCTTCCTTTATTATGGGGCCAAACATAGGGGCAGGCACTGGACTTCCTTTCTTAAAGCCTAGATTCTTATTACCCTATGTGCCCCTTTCCTTTTTTTTTAAGGTAGAGTCTCGATCTGTCGCCTAGGCTGGAGCGCAGTGACGCCATTTTGGCTCACTGCAGCCTCTGCCTCCTGGGTTCTAGTGATTTTCCCACCTTAGCCTCCCAAGTAGCTGGAATTACAGGTGTGTGCTGCCATGCCTGGCTAATTTTTGTATTTTTGGTAGAGATGGGGTTTCGACCCGTTGGTCAGACTGGTCTCAAACGCCTGGCATCAAGTGATCTGCCCATCTCGGCCCCCCAGAGTGCTGGGATTACAGTGTGAGCCGTTGCCTTATCCCCCTAGATCCTATAGTTTCCTGTTCACGTGCACTGTGAGCTATTGGATTTTTTTTTTTTTTTTTTTTTGAGACTGGGTCTTACTCTTGCCCAGCCTGGAGTGCAGTGGTACAATCACAGGTCACTGCAGCCTGTGCCTCCCAGGCTCGGGTGATTCTCCCACGTCAGTCCCCAGAGTAGCTGGAATTACAGCCTTGTACCACCACACCTGGCTAATTTCTATATTTTTTGTAGAGATTGGGTTTTGTCATGTTGCCTAGGCTGGTCTCAAACTCTTGGGCTCAAGTGATCTGCACGCCTGGGCCTCTGGATTGCTTAGGTTTTAACGTGAATTCTGCAGTGTCTTTAGTTCGGTAATCTTTGTCGATAGCTACAGAGTAAATTAAATTATTCACAAAGAATAATGTTGAATAACTTAATTATTCACAAGGAATCACATTGAAAGTTCTCATGTGGTCTTTACTCCACTTCCCCCAGTGATAACATCTTGCAAAGCTGCATGCACCATCATGATCAGAATGTTGCCGTGCATGCGTTTGGTCAGGATGCAGCGCATTTCCCAGGCTCTCTCCTGTGGGAGAAGCAGCCACACCTGCTTCCCCCCTGTCCCCAGCCCTTCCTCAGCCCCTGGCCACCACTCACCTGTTTTTGGTTTCTATACTTTTGTCTTTTCAAGAATGTTACGCAAATGGAATCATACAGTATGTAAGGGCTGAGGCTTTTTTTTTTTTTTTTTTTTAGCTTAGCATAATTCTCCCACGATTCCTCCAGTTCCTCGCGTGCATCAATAGTTCATTCCTTTTTTTTGCTGAGAGCGTTCCGTGGTGTGGATGCAGCACAGTTTGTTTAGCCTCGCGCACAAAGGACATCTCTGAGTAGTTTCCAGTTTTTGTCTCATTATGAGTAATGCTGCTATGAATGTTTATATGTAGGGTTTTGTGTGAACGTAAGCTTTCATTTCTCTGGGATAAATGCCCAGGAGTGCGGTTGTTAGGCTGTATAATTGTGTTTAGGTTTTAAGAAGATACCTGTTTTCTAGAGGGGTTGCACCATTTTACATTCCTACCAGTGTTTTGTAAGGGATTCATTTATTTCACATCCTGACCAGCATTTGGTGGTGTCTCTGTTTTTTATTTTAGCCATTCTGATAGTTGTACGGTGATACCCCTTTGTGATTTTAATTTGGATTTCCCTAATGGCCCCTTTCTCTAATGAACATCTGTGCTTATTTGCCATCCGTATGTCCTCAGGTGAGATATCTGTTCCTGTCTCTTGCCCATTTTCTAATTGGACTTTTTAAAACTCTCTGAGTTTTGTTTTATTTTTTCGATCATGGTAAAAGTACAAGAAATTTATCATCTTAACCATTTTTTAAGTTCAATCATGTGTCAAAAGACAAAATTACAACAAATTTAATGTAAGGATCTTAATTGGCTTTTGTGATCCCAGAATCAGGCAACACCTCATTCTGTAGAATTCTGTCAAATAGAATGAGTGTTCTCATGAACTGAGCAGAGAAAGTTGGCTTTGTAGACAGAAAAAGGGTGAGGAAAGCAGACACAGAGAACAGAGAGCAGATAGGTGGTTTCAGAGGGGGGACTTCCTTATCACGCTGGCCCAAATTGGCCCATTTGGGGATTTGCTCTTCTCTCCCTCTCCTGATTTCTTGGAAAAGTCAGATAAGCAGGTTACTTTTGGCTTGGTGGTGTGGAGCTTAGCAAGAGGGCCTCCATTTTGGTTTGGTCTGCTGGCTTGGTGCGGGAGCTCAGTCCAAACGAGTGTTCTCCTGGTTCGCTATGTTTATGTTAAGTTTTGAGAGTCTTTTATGTACTCTAGGCACTAGTCCTTTGTCAGATATGTGGTTTGTAAATACTTCCTCCCATTTTGTAGTTTGTTTTTTCATCCTCCTAACAGGGTCTTTAGCCGAGCAAATGTTCTTAACGTTGATGAAGTTCCTTTTATCTATTTTTCCTCCTATGGAATGTGATTTGGGTATCACCTCTAAGAACTCTGCCTAGCCCAGGATTCCAAAGATTTTCTATTTTTTTTTTCCCTAAAAGTTTTAGTTTTATGTTTTTCATTTAAGTCCCTGACCCATTTTGAGTTAATTTTTATGTAGGGTGTGAGGTTTAGGTCAAGATTCATTGTTGTTGTTATTATTGCTTTTGTGGATGGATGTGTAATTGCTCCAGTAACCTGTTGAAAAGGCTGGCCTCCTCTCTTTCCCCCACTGCTTTTATATCTTTGTTGAAAATCAGTTGGGGTTCCCTGGCAAAGCTGCAGATATTTTAAAAAAAAATCAGTTGGGTGTATTTGTTTGGGTCTATTTCTAGGTTGCATATTTTGCCCCATTGATCTGTATGTCAGTTACCCCTCTACTAATACTGGGTGGTCTTGATGACCATAGTTATATAATAAGCCTTAATACCAGGGTGACTGATTTCCTCCCAATTTATTCATCTTTTTCAAAATTGTTTTTCAAAGTTATTCTAGATCCTTTGTCTTTCCATGTAAATTTTAAAACAATCTTGTCTCAAGCCACTAAAAAATCCTGCTGGGGTTTTGTGAGGAATGGTGTTAGTAATGGAGCGGATTGAGATTGTTACTAGGTTGAATCTTCCAGTCAATCCATGGACATCGAGTGTCTTTTTCTTCTTTAGCGAGAGCTTCAGACATGAAGACAGACAGATGGTTGTGGCGCCGGCTGCTGCCGTGCCCCGAGAGATGCTGTTCCAGGGATTATGCGCTCAGCGGCAGGGCCTCAGGTTGTGTCTTGGCTCACTTCTGCTTTGTTTGTTTCTAAATGTATAGGCCTATGAAAGGAGGTTCCCTACATGTCCCTTGATTCCGATGTTCGTGGGCAGTGACACTGTGAATGAATTCAAGAGTGAAGATGGGGCTATTCACGTCATCGAAAGGCGCTGCAAGCTGGACGTGGATGCGCCCAGGCTGCTGAAGAAGGTAACGCAGGGAAACGATGTCTTGGAGCGCGGGCCTCAGAGACAGCACGAACTTACGCTACAGCTTCTGTGTAACTGGATGTTATTAATAAACGCTTTTTCTCTTTATTTCTTTTTTTTTTTTAAAGATCGCAGGAGTTGATTTTGTTTATTTTGTCCAGAAAAACTCACTGAATTCTCGGGAACGTACTTTGCACATCGAGGCTCATAATGAAACGTTTTCCAATCGGGTCATCATTAACGAGCATTGCTGCTACACCGTGAGTAACCTGTCATTTGGTGGAAGATGTTCCGCTGGTGCAGGACTTCTGGGGATTGTTTGATCACCATTTTAAACGGTGCTTCTTGTTGTCTTAGAGGGCAGCTCGTCATGAGATGTCGTTGCTCACCTCTCCTGTGTAGGAGGGAAGGGTGGCAGATGTGGTCTCCTGCAGTGGATCACGTTGTTGTGGCAGTTAATTGATGCCTTGAGACAGAGTCTCACTCTCTTGCCAGGCTGGAGTGCAGTGGCGCGATCTCTGTTCACCGCAACCTCTGCTGCCCAGGTTCAAGTGATTTTCCTGCCTTAACCTCCAGAGTAGCTGGGATTACAGGCACGCACCACCACACCAGGCTAAATTTGTGTATTTTTAGTAGAGACAGAGTTTCACCATATCGGCCAGGCTGGTCTGGAACTCCTGACCTCACGTGATCTGCTCCTTGGCCTCCCATTGATTTGTTTTTAAATATTACTTTCCTTTTCTTTTATTCTTTTTTTTTTTTTTTTTTTTTAGAGACAGAGTTTCATTCATTGCCCAGGCTGGAGTGCAGTGGCACAATCTCAGCTTGCTACAACCTCCGCCTCCCAGGTTCAAATGATTCTCCTGCCTCAGACTCCCAAGTAGCTGGGATTACAGGTGCTCGCCACCACGCCCAGCTCATTTTTATATTTTTAGTAAAGATAGAGTTTCACCATGTTGGCCAGGCTGGTCTCAAGTGCCCTCCTAACCTCAAGTGATCCACCTGCCCTCAGCCTTCCAAAGTGCTGGGATTAAAGGTGTGAGCCACCACACCTGGCCTTAAATATTACTTGCGTATGCCACTTCTTTTCTAGTCTCACTGTAATACGTTAGAGATACCTAATGAAGGACCAAGACGTGTGCCTTTAAGATGAGCGCCGAGAGTGTTTGTCTTGGTATCTTCACTGCTTACTACTGTGTTTCAAGAACTTTTTTTTATCAGATTTTTAGAACCCTCTCTTACCAGATAGCTGTTTCTCCCTCCTCCCCTGCAGTGTATCCTCAACACTGAATCCAAAGTGATGTATTTAAACTGTGTCCGATCAAGTCACTTCTCTGGGCTCAAAACCATGGAACATCTCTAGAGTTCTCCCAGAGTAAGAGCCCGGAGTCCGTATGGTGGCTTGCAGGGGCCTGAGTTATCTCCTGATCACGCCTCTCCTGTCCTTCTTGCTGTCATGCGGTGAGCCTCCCCCAGGGGCTTTGGCTCCGAGGCGCTCGCTGGGCCTCCCTAGTCTCTCGTCTCACCTCCTCCCGTCTTGGCTCAGGTCTCCCCTTCTTGGCCAGCCCCAGCCACCCATTTAATTCTGCAGCCTGACACCCCAACCCCCAGTCTTTTTTTTGTTTTTTCTTCAGAGGTGGGATCTTGCTCTGTCACGTAGGCTGGAGTGCAGTGGCACAATCACAGTTCCCTGCAGTCTCCACCTTCCAGACCTAAGTGATCCTCCTGCTTCAGCCTCCCAAGTAGCTGCACCTATAGGCACATGCCACCATGCCTGGCTAATTTTTTCTTTCTTTCTTTTTTTTTTTTTTTTCTTTTTGGTAGAGATGAGGTCTTGCTCTGTTGCTCAGGCTGGTCTCAAACTCCTGGACTCAATCAATCTGCCCACGTTGGCCTCCCAAAGTGTTGGGATTATAGGTGTGAACCACCACGCCTGACTCTCACCCCTGATTCTTTTAGCCTGCTCCAAGTTTTCTTTTTTCTTTTTTCTTTTTTTTTTAAGACAGAGTTTTTGCTCTTGTTGCCCAGGCTGGAGTGCAATGGCACGATCTCGGCTCACTGCAACCTCCGCCTCTTGGGTTCAGGCAGTTCTCCTGCCTCAGCCTCCTGAGTAGCTGGGATCACAGGCACGCGCCACCATGCCCAGCTAATTTTTTTGTATTTTTAGTAGAGACAGGGTTTCACCATGTTGACCAGGATGGTCTCGATCTGTTGACTTTGTGATCCACCCGCTTTGGCCTCCCAAAGTGCTGGGATTACAGGCTTGAGCCACCGCGCCCGGCAAGTTTTCTTTTTTCAACAGCACTTACTTATGTTTAATTTTCTTACATACTGTTTTTATGGCTGATTGTCTCCTCTGTTAGGTGGTTGAACGCTTCCAAGACCAGTACCTTTTTGTTCATAACGGAAGACTGTTCAGTGAGTACGTTGAATGAATGAATGAACCCAAAATGAAAATAGGCAGGGCATGGTGGCTCCTGCCTGTAATCCCAGCACTTTGGGAGGCTGAGGCGGGTAGATCACGAGGTCAGGAGATCGAGACCATCCTGGCCAACATGGTGAAATTCCATCTCTACTAAAAATATGAAAATTAGGTGGGCGTGGTGGGCGCCTGTAATCCCAGCTACTTGGGAGGCTGAGGCAGGAGAATCGCTCTGGGAGGCAGAGGTTGCAGTGAGCCAAGATTGCACCAATGCATTCCAGCCTGGAGACAGAGCGAGATTCCGTCTCAAAAAAAAAAAAAGAAAAGAAAAGAAAATGAAGCTCTCCTTTTATAGTCATCTTTGAAATGTTTTTGAACAATTACTTGGATCTCATCATGATTTAGAACGTGACTTCGGTGTGATTTTGAACATGATTTTGGCATTTTTTTCCGTCTGCTGTCTATATGGTAGTAGCATTGTTAGTGAAGTGTTTCTTCTGGTTACTGGTTAAACTGGGGAGCAGACAAGTGACATTCTGTTGACAGTGCAGTCAGTGAGAATGCTTTCTCTTTATCTGCAGGTTCACCCTGAAAATGAAGATTGGACCTGTTTTGAGCAGTCTGCAAGTTTAGATATTAAATCTTTCTTTGGTTTTGAAAGTACAGTGGAAAAAATTGCAATGAAACAATATACCAGCAACATTAAAAAAGTGAGTATATTTTGGGATCTTATGGCAGGGAGTGGGCAGGAGTCTCTGAGATGACCTGTCTTTTTGGAAGGCTGGGGATTGGTTAGCGAGAGATATGCAGCATTTCTTGGGTGGAAGACGCTGTGATCCCTCCCGCCGGCCTCATCTTTGGGTATAGGGGTTCAGGTTGTGCTGGCTGCTGATGGACGAGGGAGGTGTCTGTAGCTCCAGCCATGGCACTGTCTGCTTGGGATTGCTGAGAGAGGTGGAAACTGCGGGGAGGCAGCAGCAGCTGGCGTACAGCGCCCAGGCTCTGCTGCAGGGTGGCGAGGCGGCCTGGGTCCTGGGGAGGGGCTTGCTGGGCAGGCTGCCCACCTTGGATTATTAGCTCTTTCACAGAAGACCTTCCCTTCTCGTTTTTGTGCTGTTGCTTATCCACTGTTAAGGAATTGTGGTTTTGAAATGTTTCAGTGTGGGATTATGGAGTGGTTTTTGAAGGCTCATTTTCAGGGTACTGCATTGGAAAGAATTTGAATTGAGACATAAATCATATATTGAGTACAAGTACCATAAATCAGCATTTAAAAATAGTCATATAAAAATCCCATCTCTTTAGGTATTATTTCCTAAACCTTGGAAAAGAGTAAGTTAAATAAAAACACAAAAGCATTTGGCCTTATTTTCCTGTTTATTTTGTAGAAATTCAGTTTTATTGGTGTTTTAAAAGCTTGTGAGAGACTGGGTACAATGGCTCATGCCTGTAATCCCAGTACTTTGGGAGGCTGAGGTGGGCAAATGCTTGAGTCCAGGAGTTCAAGGCCAGCGTGGGCAACATTGCGAAACCCCGTCTTTGCAAAGAATACAAAAATTGGCCGGGTTTGGTGGCACATGCCTGTAGTCCCAGCTACTGGGGAGGCTGAAGTAGGAGGGTGGCTTGAGTCCAGGAGGTTGAGGGTACAGTGAGCTGTGATCATGCCGCTGCACTCCAGCCTGGGCCGCAAAGCGAGACCCTGTCTCAATAAAAAAGCCTGTGAGGTTCACCATCTTCTCTTGGCTAGAAAAAAAGAAAAATCTTGGGAGGGATAAATAATTTGAATGTTGACTACATACTCACTTTTGAACTGGTTTTGTTGTAAAGGGAAAGGAAATCATTGAATACTACCTTCGCCAGTTGGAAGAAGAAGGCGTAACCTTTGTGCCCCGTTGGACTCCGCCTTCCATCACGCCCTCTTCAGAGACATCTTCATCCTCCTGCAAGAAACAAGCAGCGTCCATGGCCGTTGTCATCCCAGATGCCGCCTTCAAGGAGGGGCTGAGCGGCGATGCCCTCAGCAGCCCCAGCGCACCTGAGCCCGTGGTGGGCACCCCTGATGGTGGGTCTGGCGGGGCTTCATCCTGAGAGCAAGGCTGGGGACATCTGCATGGCCATTTTCTCTCTGTTTGCTTTGCCTGTTCCTTGAGACATTAGGTAACTCATAAAGAAAAGACCCGTCTCTCGTTTCTGGGCCTTGCCCTCTAGCTTTTATAACACATTCATTTTACTTCTTATTAGAGTTTTTGTTAATAGGGAAAAGGGGTTATATCAAATTATTATTTTATTGATACCAGAAGGTGTTTGTTAGTTTAAGAGAGGGGAGTCTTCACTATGTTGCTCAGGATGATTTTGAACTCTTGAGCTCAAGCAGCCCTTCCACCTCGGCCTCCCAAAATGCTGAGATTATAGGCATGAGCCACCATGCCTGACCTAAGGAAGGTGTTTTTCTTTTTTTTTGAGATGGAGTCTTGCTCTGTTACCCAGGCTAGAGTGCAGTGTTGCAATCTTGGCTCACTGCAACCTCCGCCATCCAGGTTCAACTGATTCTCCTGCCTCAGCCTCCCAAGTAGCTGGGACTCCAGGCATACGCCACCACGTCCAGCTAATTTTTTGTATTTTTAGTAGAGATGGGGTTTCACCATGTTGGCCAGGCTGGTCTTGAACTCCTGACCTTGTGATCCACCCACCTTAGCCTCTCAGAGTGCTGGGATTATAGGCATGAGCCACTGTGCCCAGCCCACACCTGGCTAATTTAAAAAATTTTTTGTAGAGATGGTCTCACTATGTAGCCCAAGCTGGGTGTTTATTTTTCTGTACATTTTTCTCTACAGCCAAACTGTGCCATTTGTGAGATTTCAACAAGTGATGGGGGTGGGCAGATGGTTTGGGGATGTATTTTATTTTTTAACTTGGGAATTTTTGTTATACTTACTTTGCTGTCTCATTCGTCTAGTTTATTTTACCTTATCAGGAAAAAAGTTTCTTACGTTATTATTATTATTATTATTTTTTTTTTTGAGGCAGAGTTTCACTCTGCCCAGGCTAGAGTACAGTGGTGCCATCTTGGCTCAGTGCAACCTCCACCTCCTGGGTTTAAGTGATTCTGCCTCAGCCTCCTGAGTAGCTGGGATTACAGGCATGCACCACCACACCTGGCTACTTTTTGTATTACTAGTAGAGACTGTGTTTCACCATGTTGGCCAGGCTGGTCTTGAACTCCTGACCTCAGGTGATCTGCCTGCCTCAGCCTCCTGAATAGTTGGGATTACTGGCGTGAGCCACCAGATTTCTTACATTCTTGAACACAGTAGCTCTATTCAAAATAGATTTAGATTTGCTTGTTTTTTTTGTTTTTTCTTAAATTTTGTATCTTGTAAGTTCTTTTTGTGTTATGTTTCTCTTAGAATTAAAACAGTCATTAATGTCTGTTATAGCCATGAGTAGTATAGTAATTTGGCGATAGAGGTAACTCAGCGGTAATCAGGGAAAGATGAGTGAGGCAGAAAGTTTACCTGTGGTTTAGTCGGTGACTTCTCTCAAGGCCTGTCCCTGAAGCCTGCTAGGGATCTGGTTTACATCTGCCATCTCTGCGGTTTCATTTGCCTCTAGACTCTAGGGCTACACGTTAACTCCGCTGAGCAGAAGGACTTTGGGAGCCTAGAGCTTTAGTGTTTTTTGTTGTAAATCAATGTTGCTTACATTCCAGACAAACTAGATGCCGACTACATCAAGAGATACTTGGGTGATTTGACTCCACTGCAGGAGAGCTGCCTCATTAGACTTCGCCAGTGGCTCCAGGAGACTCACAAGGGCAAAGTGAGTGCTGGCTCCACGCCCAGCGTGCAGGGCCGGGGCTACGTGAAATCATGGAATCTCTTCCTGCCCGTAGTCACCCGGCTTCCACAGTCATTGTTCCTTCCAGTCTAGAAGTCGTTGAATATGTATCCCTGTGGAATCTGCGTCCTTAAGCTAGTGATAACGCATGATTAACTGCATGTTTTTAGACTTCACAGAGCAAGGTCTGGCTGACAGTGTCAGGTTACGAAGCAACATTGTGTTCCAAGTATTCATACGTTCAGATTTTTGGAAGCCGTAAAAAGAGTTCAGAGATTTATCAGAGATGAGAGAAGTTTGAGCTTAATTTTCAGGATTTTAGTGAAATTTCAGCCTCATAAGGGTGTAGATTTGTATAAGCCTTATGTAGTGAGCAGAGCCTGGTGTGTGTCTAAGCGAGTTGTTGACGTCATCTAGTAAAGGGAAACTAGGCATTGCATGCAGTCGGCCTAATCTCTAATTCTGTCAGTCTGGTTACTCGAGACCAAATCACCGAGTACTGTTCAGCACCAGTCATCAAGAGAACGCTGCAGTCAGATGGCTGCCATTTGCTGTATACTGACCATTATTAGACACTTGTTTCAGGGTCTTTCTTCAGCCCTGTCAGCAGCTCTCTCTGGTGCTGTTTTTCTCCCTGGCTTTACATGTGAGAAAACTGGGGTGCAGAGGAGTGAACTAACTTCCCTGGGGTCTCACATAGCGAGTGGTGGGGTCAGAATTTGAACCCAGGCCGTTTGTTTCGGAAGCTACATTCTTAACCACGTCACGTAACTTCCCTTCTGAGTGAAGATGACGCCACGTCAGTAGGCCACATGCTTTTGAGTTATTTCCCAGGAGTTGGGGTTGTGAGTAGCTCATGCTCCCACTCCCTTCTTACTCTCCTCATGGACCAGCCTCTGAGTTGGTAAGCACATGGCCACGGAGGAAGACACTTAGTCCATGTGACACTCAGAACACGGCCTTGGCCTTGTTCTTTATTCAAGGAAGCCGGCCTGTTGATTGACAGTGTTGGAATCTGGAAAAGATTCCTGTGTGTGTTAGCAACACCGCCACGTTACGAAAGCCCAACATGCTTTTTTGTATTCTAACTTTTTCTTTAATCTGTTATTTTTGTTTTTAATTATCTTAAGTCTTATGATCACTCATAATTTTTAACTTTGTGTATATCTCGTCTAATCTTTCTAATGAGTTGGCAAAGGCACCATTGCCAATCACATAGACACATGGTAGTTCTACAGTTTTATGTTTTAGAATTTTTTTTTTATACAGAGTGGCTCTGTCTCCCAGGATGGAGTGCAATGGTGCAGTCTGGACGCACAGCAACGTCTACCTCCCGGGTTCAGGCTATTCTCCTGCCTCAGCCTCTGGAGAGCTGGGATTAGCTCTGCCACCATTTCTGGCTGATTTTTGTATTTTTAGTAGAGAATAGGGTTCCACCATGTTGGCCAAGCTGGTCTCAAACTCCTGACCTCAAGTAATCTGCCTACCTTAGCCTCCCAAAAGGCTGAGATTACAGGTGTAAGAGTCATTGTGCCCAGCCTCAAATGGCTTTTAAAAGACAATGCTAAATTATAACTTAGTCTAACTTAAGTAGTAAAGAATTCAGAAGTAAAGTTTAACTTGCTACATTTCTTGTCATACTGATTTTTTTTTTTTTTTTTTTTTTTTTTTTGAGATGGAGTCTCACTCTTCACCAGGCTGGAGTGCAGTGGCATGATCTCGGTTTACTGCAACCTCTGACTCCCTGGTTCAAGTGATTCTCATGCCTTAGCCTCCCGAGTGGCTGGGATTACAGGCATACGCTACCACATCCAGCTAAATTTTGTATTTTTAGTAGAGATGGGATTTCACCATGTTGGATCTCCTGACCTCGTGATCCGTCCACCTCAGCCTCCCAAAGTGCTGGGATTACAGGTGTGAGCCACTGTGCCCGGCCTCTGAATCAGAATTCTTAAAATTCAAAAAACTGAACATAGTGCTTTAAGTGGAAGCTAGCCTTAGTTGAATCAGGATTGCCCAACAAAAATATTCTGATGATCATTCATGATCTGAATTCTGGTGTGTGAGATAGATGTATTAAATTATGGTACACATTAAAAAGTCATGGCAAAGTCTGGGTGCGGTGGCTCACACCTGTAATCCCAGCACTTTAGGAGGCCGAGGCGGGCGGATCACGAGGTCAGGAGGTTGAGACCATCCTGGCTAACATGGGTGAAACCCCATCTCTACTAAAAATACAAAATAATTAGCTGGGTGTGGTGGCGCATGCCTGTAGTCCCAGCTTCGGGAGGCTGAGACAGGAGAATGGCTTGAACCCGGGAGGCGGAGGTTGCAGTGAGCCGAGATTGCATCTACAGCCTGGGTGACAGTGTGAGACTTCGTCTCAGAAAAAAAAGTCATGACATTTCGGTTTTGTAATAAATAATGCAGTGACCAATTATTACTTATTAGTAGCTTTTTTGACATAAACTTTCAAGTCTGCCCTTTCTGCCTCCTTCTTAACACTAGTGAAGACCATTTTTGTTCGAGGGATTCTCCAAATACCCCATCAGCGTGTCCTCACTGCAGGTGATGCCTTTGTTCTTATTGGCATCTGTGTAAGAGGGTCCAGTGGCCTGACCTGTCTTCCACCCAGAGAGACTGTGGAGATCTGGTCCAGTCTTGTGCTGGCCTCCTTTTCCATGGCATGGCACTGGGCACCCTTTGGAACAAAAATCTTGCCTTTCTCAACATCGCCCATGTTTAATTCTCCTTAGTCACTCGCACTGCAAGGGTTTCCATTCAGAAGCCAGGTGTCTGACTTTTATTCTGACTTTTTATTTAAATGTAGTATGTATACAGAAAAGTGTATTTCATAATTCATAGATCTGATCGTTCATAGAATTGAAGCATTTGGTGTTTAGGGTGTCATTTATGCCTTTGCTGTACTTTGCGGAAACCAAAATGGATTACTATAAAGATTATTCAAACTGATAATGCTGATTTTCTCTAGAGTAGTAAGGGAGATTTTTCTGGTACCAGCTCATTTAAAGTAGTATAATAATGCAGCTCACTGTTGATTATATGTGGGAGTTTTAGGCCAGATGTGGTGGCTCATGCCTATAATCCCATGTTGGGAGGCCAAGGTGGGAGGATCGCTTAAGCTCGGGAGTTTGAGACCAGCCTGGTCAACACGGGGAAGCCACATCTCTACAAATACAAAAATTAGCTGGGTGTGGTGGCGTGTGCTCGTGGTCCCAACTACTCAGAATGCTGAGGTGGGAGGGTTGCTTAAGCCCTCTAGTCGGGGGCTGCAGTCAGCTGAGATGGCGCCACAACACTCCAGCTTGGGTGACAGAATGAGAGAGCCTGTCTCCCAGAGAAAAGTGGAAATTTTAGAGTCTTACTCCCTTAGCAACTTTTTTATTAGTGCAGTAGTGCGATCTTGGCTCACTGCAGCCTCCACCTCTCAGGTTCAAGTGATCCTCCCCTGCCTCAGCCTCTGAGTAGCTGGGATTACAGGCATGCACCACCAGGCCTGGCTAATTTTTATATTTTTAGTAGAGATGGGGTTTCATCATATTGGCCAGGCTGGTCTCGAACTCCTAAGCTCAAGTGATCCGCTTGCCTTGGCCTCCCAAAGTGCCCTTTGCAACTTTTAACATTGTTTAGAAACATCTTTCTCTCTTAATAGATTCCAAAAGATGAGCATATTCTTCGGTTCTTACGTGCGCGGGATTTTAATATTGACAAAGCCAGAGAGATCATGTGTCAATCTTTGACGTGGCGGAAGCAGCACCAGGTAGACTACATTCTCGATACCTGGACCCCTCCACAGGTCCTTCAGGATTACTACGCAGGAGGCTGGCATCATCACGACAAAGGTACCGGATGGAGTTGAAACCGTCTGTGTTTCCGTCATTTGTCTTGCTGTGCCATTGAAGAGATCCTCTAAGACCTCCTTCCATGGGGTTGAGTGGGGCCCTGCTGAGTGCGCGTTTCTCTTCACTCTGAGAACTGGGCATCTTTTCCCACGTTGAACAGACTGATGCTCCACTCCACTACGGGCACACTCCCGTCCCGCCCTGGGCAGCCAGGAGGGGCCTGGGCCTGTTGCTTCCCCACGGACGCACGCCATCCTTGGGCAAGTGATTTGGCTTCTTCAGTGCAGTACAGTTTGTTTTGACCTGTTGAAAAGACAGCGAGCACAGTGTTAATTAAGGGAATTTTCGATGACTTAAACCCTACGATAGCTGAAAATGGTTCAGCCAGGTTTTCTTCCATCAGCAGTGAGCACTTCGGTTCTGCCTTGGGAGTAGGGCGTGGATGAAGGGTGGCGATGCACCTCAAATGAAGAGCGATTTAAATGAGAACCGGAAACACAGTTCCCCTGAATGCCTTCCATACCCCGCCTTGCAGGAAGACCTGCACTGTCAGAAATACACTCCTTCCTAAGCCAGAGTTTGCCAGCTGGGCAGGGAGGAATTGGAAGCATCAGTGAGAGGGAAGCACTGTAGAACTGACCGTTCTTCGGGAGTGGGAATTGAGGGAAGCTGGCTTTTAAAAATCTTGCGTTCAGTTTGTAGTGATCTATGACATGAAAAATAACTATTTTCTAAGAAAGAAGATGTGAAAGTCGTCTGTAGTCACGGAAGTGTCTGGCTAGTCTGATGTTCCCTTGCTGTTGAGAGTCTGAGCTCTTGGGCAGCCCCAGTTGTTCAAAGTGAGGAGACTGAGCCCCGGACGGGTTCCCCTCATCCTGGCACGGCCTTCTGTTTCCAGGACTCTGCACAGCTACTCTCTCTGTCCGTTGGTTTTTGTTTTTCTCGCTTACAACTTTTGGGGAAAAATATTGTACACACACTCCCTACCCCACACAGAAGTCAGTTGCCACTTCTAAGAATCAGAAAGACCTTCAAGCGCACCCAGAACGTAGGCGAACAGGCGTCTTCCTGTTTAGGGTCTTAGAGTCGTATCCTCAGTGCCAGCTGGGACGGTGCCGATAACCCATTCCTTCCCCTCCCCTGCAGATGGGCGGCCCCTCTACGTGCTCAGGCTGGGGCAGATGGACACCAAAGGCTTGGTGAGAGCGCTCGGGGAGGAGGCCCTGCTGAGATACGTAAGTGCGGGGCTGAGAGACCCCAGGCTCCACTGTGGTGTCACTGTCTTTCTGCCGGCAGGATGGGGGTGTTAACCAGCTTGTTAGAACAAACGTGAATTGCTTTTGTAGTTAGAACTGAAAATATGTTAATGTAGTCTTAAAATTTGCAAAGAAGACACAGAAGTTGTGAAAGTGTGTCTCATTGGCACGTCAGTGCAGCAGTCAGGGTCTCCCCCGAGATGCTGCGTGGCGGTGGTTCTATCTTCCATGCACTCCCACGTGGAATTGCCCTCTCCTGGGACGCTCCTGCTCACAGCAGACCTCTTGGTAGCATTCTTTCCGCTGGCCCTTCCTTGAGGCGCGCTCTTGCGTCTTTCTCTGCACCATCCTGAAGGCCCTGCTGACCCGTCGTCTCCCTGACTCCGGCCCGCCCCCGCTCCGCTGCTGCGGTCAGTGTGTAGCTGTGCCTCCCCTCCCAGAGAAGAAGATGGCCCTTTAATTTGAAAACAAACAAACTTAAAACGCACATTTATGACCCCGTTACCCTGAAGTACGCACTTTGGGCTTTATTTTTTCTTTATTTTTTTGACACAGAGTTTCGCTCTTGTTGCCCAGGCTGGAGTGCAATGGCGTGATCTCAGCTCACTGCAACCTCCGCCTCCTGGGTGCAAGTGATTCTCCTGCCTCAGCCTCTGGAGTAGCTGGGATTATAGGTGCCCATCACCATGCCCAGCTAATTTTTTTGTATTGTTAGTAGCGACGGGGTTTCACCATGTTGGCCAGGCTGGTCTCGAACTTCTGACCTCAGGTGATCCACCTGCCTCAAAGTGCTGGGATTATAGGTATGCACCACTGCACCTGGCCAGCATTTTTTTTTAAAGGCACCCCCATGGGGTGCAGGGTCTATTCATGGGCGTGATCATCACTCACTGCACCTTCAAACTCCTGTCCTCAAGTGGTTCTCCCATGTCAGCCTCCTGAGTAGCTGGGCCTTTACAAGCACCACCGCTGAGCCTGGCTTACTGTTGGCGTTCCCTGGTGTATTGCTGTTAGTCTGCCCCCACCGCCATGTGTGTTTATCCACACATGCACATGTTCACACCTGAAGATATGGATGGACTTCATCTGCAGGGAAAGGGTTTATTAATCTGAAACACAGGATCTCTTGAGCCATGCCTGAAGTCTGTTGTAAGGCTGCCTTTTCTCTTGGCTGGCATGTGGTTTTAAAGTGTTTGCACACTCACAGACGCTTATCTACTGTTCCCATGCACTCGTTCTGAAGACAGAGCCGCAGTGTGAGGCCCCTGTGCATCCTGTGATTCCTCTGGCCTGCACTTCTCTTTGGATAGCTGTTACCTTTGCTGTACATGACAGTGTTTGTTCTCTTTCAAGGGTCCCATTTTTTTGTTGTTGGTGATGTGGTTAGCACATGCGAATGTGTAAGAAAACCTACATAGGTCACTTTTTTGGTTTACACACTTAACCTGTAACATGCTGCTTGTGTCCCTCTTCCATAGCTGGACGCGTTAGTTTCAGCCTGAGACTAATCATGGGAAATTTTCATCCTCTTGTGTGTGTAGGTTCTCTCCATAAATGAAGAAGGGCTAAGACGATGTGAAGAGAATACAAAAGTCTTCGGACGGCCTATCAGGTAGCTGTGGGATTTTGCTTTTCCTTTCAACTTACTGAGAAAACAAATTAAATATTTCTAGTTAGTTTTTGGAAGTAAAATCTGCTTCTTATTTTCCAAGATGCTCTAAAAGGAGGAAAGGAGGTGCACATGTAATAAGGCCAGTGGCGAGGGACAGACAGTCACTGTTTCCTGTCCCAAGCATTGCTGTCGATCAGCCTGGGTGGGCTGGCCTGCCTGCCTGGTTGGTGTGGTCCACGTGGGCCCAGGGCTGCACGTCAGTTCCTTGTTTGTGCCTCTCCTCCTCACCCAGATGACTCTGTTCTGAAACCACGCTTTCAGTTTCAATCCACAGTTCTAAAAATGTTCAGTGATTCAAAGGTTGACATTGGTAAGGGTGTAGATGGTTCACTGGGCTATAAGTTCCATGAGAACAGGGATTTTGAGGGCTCTTTGCTCACTGCTGTATTCTCAGCTCCTGAGACTGCTTGCCCCTCGCTGTTGAAGCATAGCTCACTGCAGTTCAGACACAGTATGTGTTAAAATAGCAGCTGTGTGCCCTGTTGATGGCAGGTGAGGGGTGGTTTAGCACGTGGAGGACAGCACACCGTGGCTTTGCCTGCCGGTTCACTGAGCACGTCTGAGAGGGATTTCCATGTGCTCCCAATCAGCCCTGCAGTTTCAGGCTTGGTCCTACCACACTGATCCTGTGTGTTTCGTACAAATACAGATAAACAGAGTTCATAGCACTGTAATTTTAAGAAATTGATAATTGTGTATTTGGAAATAGCTATAAATGACCAGAAAGGAAAAAGGTCCTAAGACACGGTTTACTAAGTGTGCTGCCGTCTGTTGAGTGTAACACGTCTCTGCACAACCCGCAGCTCCTGGACCTGCCTGGTGGACCTGGAAGGGCTGAACATGCGCCACCTGTGGAGACCCGGCGTCAAAGCGCTGCTGCGGATCATCGAGGTGGTGGAGGCCAATTACCCCGAGACGCTGGGCCGCCTTCTCATCCTGCGGGCACCCAGGGTGTTTCCTGTGCTCTGGACGCTGGTGGGTTGAGATGCCTTTTGCAGTCACTGTGAGCCATTTGGAAAGCACATACACATGCATTCATACACACGTGTCTGTGACCCAAAGCCTTAACTACTTAGAAAAAAACAACATGCAAAGATAAAAAATTTCTCAAATTGTTTAGGGAAGGGGGAAGAAGAGCAAAGTCTGTCTGAGTGTCCTAATGCCATGCAAACAGACTTTACAGAAAAAGTATATAAACTTGAAATCCCCCCCATTCATAACCTTATTGTCATTTTAATCTTTGCCATTCAGGCCTCAGATCAGATATGACTCGATGGTCTTTTCTCTTCGTCACAGGTGAGTCCCTTCATTGATGACAACACCAGAAGGAAATTCCTCATTTATGCAGGAAACGACTACCAGGGTCCGGGAGGCCTGCTGGATTACATTGACAAAGAGATTATTCCAGATTTCCTGAGCGGGGAGTGCATGGTATGTAGCGAGGGGAGGAACTGCGCACTTGGCTCCTTAGACAGGTGGGAGAGGTCAGTGTTGATTTGCACAGATGATTTTCAGAACTTTACATTGGGATGTTTTGTTTCTGTTTCGTTTCTTTTGGCCGCCATTTCTCTGATCCAGGATCAAGCTAAAGAGGACCATTGAAGTAATTGTTGATACTATACATTTCTTCGTGGTTAAATAAAAATGAGAATTTGTTGTAGAATCAGATACAATTGCAGCTCGCTTTATTCACAGGGCTTTGTGTGAATCAGATCTTTAAACCATTTTAGAGGAGCTGTCGTATTTTTTTTTTTTTTGAGACGGAGTTTCGCTCTTGTTACCCAGGCTGGAGTGCAATGGCGCGATCTCAGCTCACCACAACCTCCGCCTCCTGGGTTCAGGCGATTCTCCTGCCTCAGCCTCCTGAGTAGCTGGGATTATAGGCACGCGCCACCATGCCCAGCTAATTTTTTGTATTTTTAGTAGAGACGGGGTTTCACCATGTTGACCAGGTTGGTCTCGATCTCTCGACCTTGTGATCCACCAGCCTCGGCCTCCCAAAGTGCTGGGATTACAGGCTTGAGCCACCGCGCCCGGCCGTATTTTTAAAAATACTGTTAAATTGAATCAGTTCTCAAAATGTTTCACTCACCCCTCCCCCTCCTTTATTTTTGTGGAGACAGGGTCCTGCTCTGTCACCTAGGCTGGAGTGCAGTGGTGTGATCACAGATCACAGCTCACTGCGTCCTGACCTCATGGGCTCAGGTGATCCTCCTACCTCAACCACCCAGGTAGCTGGGACTATAGGCATGCGCCACCATAACCAGCTCATATTTGTATTTTTTGTAGAGACGGAGCCTCATCATGTTGCCCCAGGCTGGATAACATTTTTGGGTGTTTTTTTTTTTTTTTTTTTTTTTTGAGATGGAGTCTCCCCCGTGTCCCCCAGACTGTAGTGCAGTGTTGCAGTCTTGGCTCACTGCAGCCTCCACCTCCCAGATTCAAGCAATTCTCCAGCCTCAGCCTCCAGAGTAACTGGGCTTACGGGCATGCGCCACCACACCCGTTGAATTTGTGTATTTTTAGTAGAAACAGGGTTTTACTATGTCAGCCAGGCTGATCTCAAACTGCTGACCTCAAGGGATCTGCGCACCTCGGCCTCCCAAAGTTCTGGGATTACAGGCATGAGCCACCACGCCTGGTCTGGATAACATTTTTAAAGTAGAAGAATGAAGAGAAATGGCTCTCAAAATATGTTTGGGGTTTTTAATACACGGAGTTGCTGGGTAATCAAGCAGAGGCCTCCACTTCTGTACCCTGTGCTCTGAAAAGCTCGGAACCTTGGGCTCCTTCCAGCCTTCTAGCCACGGTGCACGTTGTGCCACAGGAGTGTTAAGGAAGCCAAAGCCTGTGGAAGTCCCAGTGACTTGTCCCGTGGCACGTGGTGGCAGCTGAACTCAGCAGGGAATGAAGCTTCTTATCCAAGGGCTCTAGTCATCCTTCATATAAAGTTACCCGTTTGAGATGTGTACCCACTGGGTTTGACTCACATATTTAGCTAGTGAATTGGACACTCAAGGGACTTCGGACTTTCTGAATGGTTAGAGAAATTTAGAAAACAAATGTAGCTTTTACTTTATCAGTTCCAGTTTCAGGAAGTGACAGGCATCATCACAGTGCAATGCAAAGAGCGAGTAAGTAATACTAAAAGTCATGGGACCCGAATTTAGCAAGTGTCTCTGAGGTTAAATTAACATGGCCTCACGTTTGTCGAAACCTCTGAACTCCTTTCGTTATGTGAGCTAACCATCCCGAAGCGATTACGACGGGAAGAATTGAGCTGGCACACAAGGAGACTTGACTCCGACTGCCAGTCACAGCTGTGTTGTCACATGCTGACTTCCAGAGTGTGTTTGCCGTGTTGAATGTCTCTGTGGTTAATTGAGCTCTCCCAAAATGTGGGCCTTCTGAGACTTCTTCACCGCTGTCCTGAGCTGCTGTTCGGGCTGGTTGTTGAAAGGAGGCTGTGCACGTCTGCTCTCTGCTGGCAGAGTTTATTAACCATGGGCCAGGCTGGGACTTTGCCAGCATGCTCTCGCTGCTGTGACTCTTCTCCACTCATGCTGTGCTGCAGGCTGAAGACAGAGACGTTTATTTTCTATGTAGTTGCTTCCCAGGGCTGATGATAAAGGGAGGACTTGGATTTTATGAACTTGAGTGTGGAGTCATTGTATCAAGGTTAATTAGGAGATTGACGATATGTACAAATTCTAATTCAACTTGTTTCAGGCAAATTCAAAAGAAGTTCTTCATTAGGTTTTGTCTGGTGTTATGGACCAGTCGTTCGACTTTAGACACAAAACATCATTCATTGATGCTGTATCTTGACTATAATTTCATAGCATAAAAATAACGCCTGTGGCTATTGAGAGCAAAACTCTTCTTAAAGTAATGCTCTTCCTTTACAGGGCAACGTAAATACCCCTAATGCTTAAAGGAGCCATCTTTAGTAATTGGGTGTAGTGCCTCATGCATGTTGCTGTGATTCTGTGGTAAATCAGCTTGGACTTGTTCTCATTTTTGCAAAGTGAAATACATGTTGAAGTGGTTTAAAAACATACCGCTCAGCAGTGCAGAGTATTTTACGACCCTGCCAGTGTTTTCCATTTTCTCAGCAACTTCCAGGAGTGGAGCGTAGCGGGATGGTGCTGGCTGGCGGCTGTGTATCGTGGGGTTGGTTTGTGTTTGCACAGCTTTCACTGCTGTGTTTCTGTTTCCAGTGCGAAGTGCCAGAGGGTGGACTGGTCCCCAAATCTCTGTACCGGACTGCAGAGGAGCTAGAGAATGAAGACCTCAAGCTCTGGACCGAGACCATCTACCAGTCTGCAAGCGTCTTCAAAGGAGCCCCGCATGAGGTACACCCGCCTTCCTGCACCGGAGGGCACCTGGGCAGCCGGTCCCCCCACCCCCGCAGGGCTGCTGGCAGTCTTCCATTGAGAACAGTGCTCAGTTTTCTGGTCTTTGTCTTTAGGCTTTTGTTGACACTTGATACCTAGTTTCAGTAAATGTCAACGTGGAAGAACAGGTCTCTCAGAATAGAAAAGTGCTTGATCAGAGTGCCTGGAAAGGAAATTGGATCTCTTGACCTCCATTTTACTAAAGACACCAAACACAGAGATAGGAATAACTCATCTTTCCTTGTTGAAGCACTTAACTCCTGAACTTAGTTTATTTCTTGGTTATACTGAACAAGTTTCATTTGCTACTATTTCTTTCTTTCTTTCTTTCTTTCTCTTTTTTTTGAGATGGGGTTTTGCTCTGTCACCCAGGTTGGAGTGCAGTTGCACGATCTCAGCTTATTGCAGCCTCCATCTCCCGGGTTCAAGTGATTCTCCTGCCTCAGCCTCCCAAGTAGCTGGGATTACAGGCACCCGCCACCATACCCGACTAATCTTTGTGTTTTTAGTAGAAACATTTTCACCATGTTGGCCAGGCTGGTCTCGAACACCTGACCTCAGGTGATCCACCTGCTTGGGCTTCCCAAAGTGCTGGGATTACAGGCCTGAGCCACTGTGCCCGGCCCATTTGCTACTTTCTTGACTGGGTTTTGGTTATTTATAGATATTTTGGGAATTTTCTGATTTCTGTAAGTCTGTGTTCCTTTCTTGCTGTTACTTTTGGTGCAGAAGCAGGAGCTTTCCATGTGCTTTGCACGCCTTGTGTTTGCCCTGTAGCATCACGAGTGACCTGAAGCAGGAGGGGCCTGCAGCAGAGTCTCCCTTCTCAGCTCAAGGGCCAGGTTCGTGGCCCAGAGTTGCCGGAGAGGATGGTGGGGCTCTATGCGGAGCAGGTGTTCGGTGAGGATACGGTGCTGGCTTGGGCAGTGGTGCTGACTCCAGCCTGCTTCCTGCCATGGCGGCACCTGGGTCAGCCGTCGGCCAATGGCTTCTGCTGCACTGTCTTCCTGAGCGCCTCACCTGGCAGGTGGATCAGGGAACAATTGCCATGGTTTGAACAAGCAGAGACAGATTTGGTATGCCTTACTTGTAGATACACAGGGGAATCTCACATTTCCTAACATCTTGAGGATTATCCGTCTTCATTTCTTTTCTCCAGGAGGCTGGGTCCTTACTCATTGTTGAGTATGTGCTGTCACTCCTATCCATGTTTCAGGAACTTGGGGTGCAGTGTGTTTCATGTGAATCAGGGGGCATCTGTAAACATCCACGTGGTCAAAACCTCAGTTCTGCTTTGGGTATTAAATAAAGCATAGATCCGAGATGGTAACAAACCTAAATGCAGGCTAGAGCAGAGACCCCAGCTGTGAGTGCAGCAAAGAGGTGCCTGCCAGCGCAGGGGCCAGGGTCTCGGGCTGCAGCCGCCTGGGAGCTGCTTTGCTGAAGAGTGGGCCGTGCTGCGTAGTGCTGCCTGCTGTCCTTAGACAGGACTCTTGTACCTCGTTGAATCTGCTGTGGAAGGGCATTCCAGAGTGGTGTTTCGGTGGTGAAGTGGCAGTAGTGGGGTTGGAAAAGGAGCCCGGCTTGCAGAGCAGCCAAGTGCTGAATGGCACGGAGATGGCACACAGTGGGCCGATGGGCAGGCGCCAGGGCAGAGGGCCGTGGGCCTGGTTCTGCTGCTTCCTTAGGCGGAGCTTTCAGTGAATGCAGAACTCTGCACAGCTGCTTTTAATTCTCACGTTCCTCCCACACTAATCTTTAAAACCAAGCTTTGATCATTCCCTGCCGAGGAGCTCTGTCGGCACCGTATATGTTCAGGTTTCCGACTGGTTCTCAGCACCCGGGGGGCTGACCCGCCGCTTCCTCCACCATGCCAGGGGCTCATCCCACTCACCAGCCTTGCCACTGCTCTCGTGCCAGCCTCACACGGCAGGCCTGGTGCCGTGCCCCTTCTTTCCCCTTGCTGGAACACTGTCCTGAGGCTCCCCCGCCTTCTGTTTCCTCAGCTTTCACCTTCTCCAGGGCCTTCTGCTGCTCTCCAGCCCAGGCCAGTCCTCTGAACCACTCGTGTACAAGCTCAGCGTTTGGTGTTACACTAAGACCTGGTTGGTCTCTTCACGTGTGTCTGAAGATGGTGTACAGGGGCTCTTGGGCCTGTAGGTGCAGGTCACAAAGAGCGCAGAGCTTGGTGCACGACATGTGGCAGGAGCCAGCGGTTGAGAGACGGATGGTGGTGTGACTCTGGGCAAAGACATCCGCCCGTGCCCATTCAGCCTTTCCCTCCCCAGCGTGGGCACCTGGGCCTGGAGCCCCTGGCGGGGATGGTGTGCGCCAGCACACGGCCTGTGCTCGTGGAGTGTGGCTGCCTGACACCGTCTCTTTTTCAGATTCTCGTTCAGATTGTGGATGCCTCTTCAGTCATCACTTGGGATTTCGACGTGTGCAAAGGGGACATTGTCTTCAACATCTATCACTCCAAGAGGTCGCCACAGCCACCCAAAAAGGACTCCCTGGGGGCCCACAGCATCACCTCTCCAGGCGGGAACAATGTGCAGCTCATAGACAAAGTCTGGCAGCTGGGCCGCGACTACAGCATGGTGGAGTCGCCTCTGATCTGCAAAGAAGGAGAAAGCGTGCAGGTAACGTCACGCGCACGTCTGATCGCGCGTCCGTGACTGTGCAGCTGGGCGACTCTGTCTTGAGTGGGAGTCTTTGCGTCACTCCTTGAGCAGCCTGTGTCGCTTTTGAGATGCCGTCTGCAGAGGAGCATCTCGCCTGGAGGAGCAGAGTGACTCGGGAAGCCGATCGGGTCTCACAGGAAAGAGGTCCAGCCTAGCAGTGCTTTTGGACAGAATCTGTGACTTTTCCCCAAAGCAGCATGTGACAGGAAGGGAAGGCATGGCGTGCACATGGCCAGCTGGGCTGCAGAGGACCTTCCCCCAGGCCTCATTTCACTGGGTTGCATTTGCCTTTTTCAAAGGAAAATCACCCTAAATAGAAGTGAGAGGCAGGAGTACTTAGGGAGCTATTAACTCTCATTACCAAACCTTCTAATTTGTTTCAAACGCTTTCAGTTCCTTTTAACATTGTGGCCTGTTATTTTGGGTGCCTGCGCTCACAGTAATTCTCGGGGGTGAGGGCGGGAGGGTGCTTTCGGCCTTCATAATAGATGCAGCATTTTGCTGCCTTTTCAGTTTTCAGAGGTAAACCTTGTCACTGTTTCAATGGTCTTAGAGGCAGAGTAAAGGAATACTTTATCCAGTTTAAAAAAAATGAACCTCAGCCGGGCGCGGTGGCTCAAGCCTGTAATCCCAGCACTTTGGGAGGCTGAGGCGGGTGGATCACAAGGTCAAGAGATCGGGACCATCCTGGTCAACATGGTGAAACCCCGTCTCTATTAAAAATACAAAACATTAGCTGGGCATGGTGGCACGTGCCTGTAATCCCAGCTACTCAGGAGGCTGAGGCAGGAGAATTGCCTGAACCCAGGAGGCGGAGGTTGCGGTGAGCCCAGATCGCGCCATTGCACTCCAGCCTGGGTAACAAGAGTGAAACTCCGTCTCAAAAAAAAGAAAAAAAATGAACCTCTAAGCTATATTACCACAGTCATGAATTTCAGAACGAATGGAGAAAGTGATTTTTGCGGATTGATGCCTCACTTTAGGGTGATGTGCCTTTAGCCCCAAACATGCTGGATGATTGTCAGCATGTCAGAGAAAGTGAGGCCAGTTCAGAGAAGCTGTGCCGAGCCCTCCCTCCAGCTCGGTGCTACCATCCCTTCAGGCTCCTGCCTCCATAGGTGGAGGTGGGGTGAGGGTGGCCTCATGAGGGCCACAGACATGGAGTCTGTTCCTGTGCCTTCCCAGCACCTGGGAGTGACCACACTCAGTAGAGAGGTGGACATTTTCCCACCTGCTGGTGAAGCAAAACAGCAGGTTCTGAATCGCGTTGAGATGGTCCTGTAGCCACATGGAATCCTGCAGACGGTCCCCTTGGCTCTTGTCAGACCTGCTTTAGGCTGGGGGTGAGAAGTGTGTCGCCGCCAGCTGCCACTGCCTTCCTCGTTTTAGGGCTCCCATGTGACCAGGTGGCCGGGCTTCTACATCCTGCAGTGGAAGTTCCACAGCATGCCTGCGTGCGCCGCCAGCAGCCTGCCCCGGGTGGACGACGTGCTCGCCTCCCTGCAGGTGTCTTCGCACAAGTGCAAAGTCATGTACTACACCGAGGTGATCGGCTCCGAGGATTTCAGGTACGGCCGCCCGTGCCTCAGCACAGCAGGTGCCACCAGAGAACTGGGTGGGTTGGGGTCGCCTGCGGCCCTGGGCCGTGTGCAGGATCGGCACGCAGGCGCTGCCGGGGAGCTGGGTGGGGCGGGGGGACTTTCAGTCCCGTGCCATGTGCAGGATAGGCAGTGTCGGTGGGCCTCAGGGATGCTGGCGGGGGAGGGCAGCGGGAGTGGCTTTGGGGTCATTTCTTTGCACTGTGACTCCCTGCATGTCTGCAGAGGGAAGAGCGTCAGGAACGAGCAGCTTTGCCTTTGCTTTAGCTCACGATGCCATCTGTGTGCAGGCTGTGGGAAGCTGGTCCCCCGGTGGTTATTCATGTCCGCCCCCCGTTTGCAAGTGCTGATGGGGATGAAAGATGAGCAGAGAGCCGGGTGGGCCGTGAAGTCCAGCAGGCAGTGTGGGCGGCGGGCGGCGGGCAGGGTAGTCCTCACCTGCCCTTCCCTGTGCTGTTACAGAGGCTCCATGACCAGCCTGGAGTCCAGCCACAGTGGCTTCTCGCAGCTGAGTGCTGCCACCACCTCCTCCAGCCAGTCCCACTCCAGCTCCATGATCTCCAGGTAGTGCCGCGCCTAGTGTGCAGAGGGGATGACCGCCCCTCCTCCAACAGCCAGCTGCGGCCGCCCGCCCACCCAGCGCGACATTGTACAGACTCCTTTCACCTCTAGATAGCAAGTAGCTCTCCGGATGGTAAACGTAGTCATTTGATCCCAAAACTCTCTTGGCAGGTAGTTTTAACTCTGATCCTAACTTAACTCAATAGCCATAGATTTTGTTACGTTGTGCACAAAATCCAACCAGAGCACAAGGGCTCTCTTGAAAGAACAGTAGCTTTTATACCAGTTAAAAGATTGATGCGGTCCCAGATATTGATGCAAAAAATTTTTCCAACGAACTCTGCATTGTCCGTTAGTGAATGAATTCCTGTGACATCCTCGAGAGATGGCCCTTCCTCACCTGGGACAGAAGCTGCCAGCACATGTCCCCCAAGCTGCATCGTGGCCCTCACACCTCCTGTCACTGTCGAGATGGTCTGTGGACTTAGGGACGGCCCGTGAGGTCCTTCTTCCTCTGAGGATTCAGAGGCCGCCTGCGGAGCACCCTGTCCCGTGGGCAGACCCCCCCACTCCACGTGCTGTCCTGAAGTGGGGCTGGGGGCTCAGGAGGGGTTCTGGGGGACTCCGGGGGACTCCAGGAAAATGCTGCCATCATTCAACGTTACTTCCTCTCTCCTCCTTTTCAAATCTTTTTAATACTTTTTAGAGCTGGATTTTTCTGTGTGTGAACTTGGGTGGGGGGAGGGTTCTTACCCTTTTTCTTTCCACGCGTCGCCCCCTCACCTGCAGTCAGCTCAGCGTAGGCATCTCTCCTCTGTGTCCTCCTGCGGCCGCTAGAGGCCGTTGGAACCAGCAAGTCACATTTGCCATTTGACACCGTCCACAGGGTTTTATTCATAGCTAAGCAGCATCTGCCACATCCACGTCAGGGTGGCCTGTGGCCTGTGGCCTGTAGGAGCCCTGCATCTTTGTACAGGGAATGGTGGACTCAAGCGTGTGCGTGCGTGCATGTGCTGTGTGTGTGCATGACGGCAGGAGGGGCTGGGGGGACGGGGCGTGTAGAAACTTAGTTTGAGTAACAGAGGAGTCTACAGAAGCAAATCAGAATGTGGGATTTGTTTGCCTTTTACATTTTCTGTTTAATTCCTGATTTTTAAAGCCTGCTGTACCTGGTACAGGCCCTCAGGTTTCAGCTTTTCATGGGAAGAGCAGGGGATTTGAGAATCTGTCTGGAAGCCGCATAGGGACGGCCTCCATGGTAGACACGCAGCGTGTGTCTCTGTGCAGCAGAGGCCGTGCTTTTCATGCCAAACCCCACGTTGGCTGTCACCCGTGTGCGTGGTAAGCGTGGAAATCCTGGTGGTGCCGTCTCAGCGCTGCTCTGAGGCATTGGGTCGGTGCCGCGTCACCGGAGGGCTGTGTGGAGGCCGTGTGTGCCCTGTGCAGGGATCAGGAGGGCTGGGGAGGGACCCAGCAGCCCTCCCGCCCGGTCAGGTCAGCCCCAGGGGCTCCCTGCACACTGTAGCTGTCCTGGGCCTCCGCGGTCACCTGCCTTTGGTCCACGTTGGTGTGTTTGCTTTTAGAGATCCAGCTCCTCAGTTGTACCCGAAGCCTTGCTTCCAGGAAGTACGGCAGGGCGAGTAGCGCATCTGTGCTGCCCCCGTTTGGTGCCTCCTGTTCCCACATCACAAGGACCTGAAGATGGTCCCTGCTTTCTCTTTCTTTCTCTTTCTCTGTGTCTCAGATGGCGATTTTGCTGACAGCTGCCAAGAAAATGCTTCATTCAACAGTCCTCATGTGCCCAGAGATGTTTATAGAACTGTTTGAATTGCAGCCATCCCCTGCCCCTCCCAGGCTGAAGATCTGTTCTTTTTAAGTTGATTCGGGAGTGGCACTCTTTCATCCCCAGAGAACTGAGTGCATCTTTAAGAGCCCCCAGCACACGGCTGCACAAATGCTCACAGGGTCCAGGTCTCCTGAGTAATCCAGTCTCACTCTCCCTGGGAGGGAAGCTGGGGCAGCTGTGGTTTGAGTATGTCGTTTGCATCGCGTTTCTACTTTTAGTACCTTGCCACTCTTTTAAAATGCTGCTGTCATTTCCCGTTTCTTAGTACTAACGATTCTTCGATTTTCCCTCTATTACTAGTGTCTCTCTATTCACTTTCCTTCCTAAACTTGTGATTTGCATATCAAATTCTGTAAATGTTTTGTAAACATATTACCTCACTCTTGGTAATACAATACTGATAGTCTTTAAAAGATTTTTTTATTGTTATCAATAATAAATGTGAACTGTTTAAAGAAAAGAATGGCTTTTTCTTATCGTGAAACAACAGTTTTCCTTGAACAGTTTGGAATTCTTGGGAGAATTTAGAGATTGAAGAAAGAAGAGAGCTTCGGAAGCCAGAGTACTGATACTCTAGAGTCGAAGAAAAGCTTTTCGCTTGTGTGGGATTGTTTCACAGGTGAGTAGACCGTCCTCAGACAGGTCACAGCTGTATGTTCGCTGATGCAGAAGCAAACCCAGTTTTTGTAATCCTCACTTTTATAGGAAGACATGACGTGGTTTTCCTTAAATGCAGCCGGATCAAACATCACGGTGACGGTGTGATCCCTGCTGTGATGTTTCTTTCTAAATAGAAAGGATTGCTTTAATCAGGTGCCTCCAAAAAAATAACATAGGTTTGGATCTTTGGAAGCGTGTTACCTTATCTCCACGTCCCTGCCAGTCACTGGGCCTTTAGGGGGTCGTAGCCCAGTGGGCAGAGCGGGCTGCTGGCTCGCCAAAGCACAGGGCTGGCTGGAAAGCAGCTCAGGGCAGCTTGGTACAGAAGCCAGTGTTCCCACTCACCAGGCACTGTGGGGTCCTTGGATTATAGGCACGAGCCACCAAGTCCGGCCAGTGTGATGATTCTGTAATACATCATGTTTCCTTTAATACTCCATCTCTTTTTTTTTTTTTAAAAGACGGGGTTTCACCATATTAGGCTGGTCTCGAACTTCCGACCTCAGGTGATAACGCCCACCTCAGCCCCCAAAGTGCTGGGGTTACAGGCGCCAGCCACCGCACCCGGCAATTCCCCATCTCTGTAGAACTTCGGCAGAGCCCAAACCGTAGGTTGTCTTCCGGTTCCGGAGTTGTGGTGGAGGCATTCTTATCAATGTCATCATGAAACAAACCAGTTGAGTCAGTTCTGCTGGAAAAGTTGGGGCTTTGGAAAGCCAGCGTTGCTGGGAAGATGGCAGTACAACTAGACTGTGAAACCTCAAACCCGTGGACAACTGGACTGATTTTCAGATGGTTCAAGTGGCAGTGCTGGTTACATGTTTTTTAGCACAACAGCAAGAAAAACCTATGGACATCATTTACAATAAAACTAGGTGATAAAGTAGCCCATAAACCCTAAACTAGAGGCATGTTGGGGTAAACCACCAATACCTGCAAGACCGACCTGACCCATAGGTTATCCGTGCCTGGGGGGGGAAGCGGAGGTTTCACTCAAGACTTCTGATGGATGGGAGAGCAGGAGAAGCCATGAGGCCCCATGAACACCAGTGGGTGGCTCAGCAGGTGACACAGGCCAGCTGGGGTACACCTGGAGGCTTGGGTACAGAGGCCACATTGGGGACAGGATTGGATTGAGGGGAGCAGACCAGGCCCTCTGGACTCCCTGGACTGACCTGCCAGGGCTCAGTTCTGGAAGGAACCGCTCGCTGAGGAAGTAAAGCACATTCCACTGCTTGGAGTGGAAGAAAGTCAAGCAGGATGGAGGCCAGGTCCACACAGCGCCTGGGAGGGTTATGGGCAGGGCAGCCATGAAAGCAAACGGACACGAGGTTTTAAGCATGTCACAAAATAACAGCGAGGGAGCACCGCAACATTCGAGCAGCTCGCTTCAAGCATGCTTCATTCTGAATGCTTATGAAATACTTTTCCATAAAAATGAGCAGCGGGAAGAGAGCAAAGTCAAATCTGTAGAAGGCTGAGAATAGGGAGAGAATAATACTCCCACCAACAGTGAGAGCAAGCCAGAAAGGCTGCCTGCAAAACAGACCCAAAAAACACGTTTAAAAACTACGTTTATTTTTTGAGACCCAGTCTTAACTCTGTCCTGGTGTGATCTCTCTTCACCGCAACTTCTGCCTCCTGGGTTCAAGCAATTCTGCTGCCTCAGCCTCCCGAGTAGCTGGGACTACAGGTGTGCACCACCACGCCCAGCGCTAATTTTTGTATTTTCAGTACAGATGGGGTTTCGCCATGTTGGTCGGGCTTGTCTTGAACTCCTGGCCTCATGTGACCCACCCACCTCAGCCTCCCAAATTGCTGAGATGACAGGTGTGAGCCACTGCACCTGCCCATGTTTTATTTTGTTTTAAAAGAAAGCTTGCTGTGTTTCCCAGGCTGCTCTCACACTTCTGGATTGAAGCAGTCCTCCCACCTCGGCCTCCCAAAGTGCTGAGATTAAAGGTGTGAGCCACAATACCCAGCCTAAAACCAATTCTTAAAATGTACTGAAAACCATGAAGAAAATGATACAAAACGTGAAAGGCATAATCAGAGAACCTCAGAAATGAAGTGACAGAACTCAAGAAAGAATTAGAAATGCAGGAATCCTTTCAGAAATCGAGACAACTTGGAATGCAAAGTGAAAAACAATGCCAAGTGAAAATGAGGATGATGTTATAAATCAAAAAAAGAGGGGGATGGAAAGCCTTCCAGAGTGTTGCTGTTGAAAATAAGCGATCCAGCCCATGGGCGCCATTGAAAGAGCGGGGGCCTGCGAAGGAGGAGCACCGAGGATGTTTTAGGAAAAGTCCTTGGGGCGTTCTGGGAATCAGGCATTTTGAGGACTGAGCTCTCTGCCAGAAGAAAATACAGATTTTTCAAGGAAAGAGTAAGCCAAAAATTTTGCATCCAGCAAAACTTGACCTCTGAGTATAAAGGGCACTGATACAGGCCAGGTCACGTCAAAAGGACTCAGTAGCAGACTCAAAGAGGCTTTCACTGGCCAGGAACAGGACGGGTTCAACTTGTCCCAGTTATCATTGTCTTATGATGATAATTGCAGGACACCATTGAATGTTAAGATTCATGAGTTTATAGTTTTAATATATAACAATTTTGGATGATAAGGAACCAATTACTTTGAAAACTGGTAAATAAGAAGCAAGCATTTATCCTGACCTTTCCTAAATGCATAGTATATGAAGATTAGTACCTATAAAATTATTCCAACTTTTAGTGACTATAAAACTGATAGAATAACATCATTCTGCAATCCCGATTAATAAATAGACGTAGGTATTAAGCATCAGCTGCTAAGATCACACACACAAAAAGACAACCAGATGCCCTGTGTCTCAGAGATCGACAGTCTTACCGGAGTTTTATGATCCAACCTGAGTAGATCCAGTCTCTGAATCCAGGTGCCAATTTGCAAAAATACAGAGGCCAAGGAAGCGTTGGACTGCATTATGGGAAACTGAAGTCAGAAGGCTCAGGCCCTTTATCCTTTTTTTTTTTTTTTTTTTTGAGATGAAGTCTCCTGTCACCCAGGCTGGAGTGCCATGGTGCGATCTCGGCTCACTGCAACCTCCACCTCCTGGGTTCAAGCGATTCTCCTGCCTGGGCCTCCCTAGTAGCTGTGACTACAGGCATTTGCCACCACATCCGACTTTTTTATTTTTAGTAGAGAAGGGGCTTCACTGTCTTGGACAGGCTGGTCTTGAACCCCTGACCTAAAATGATTTATCCACCTCGGCTTCCCAAAGTGTTGGGATTACAAGCATGAGCCACCACGCCTAGCCAGAAAGTTCAGTCTCTTTAATTTGCAGGAAATGCCCCACCCAGTTCTTTCTTTTTCTTACAGCAGATCTATTGTAAATTTTAAAATACAAGGAAGGAATCCTCACAGCAGTCAGGGAAGGTGCCTCCTCCCAGGGCAGAGCCTGCGGTGTGGTGTGGGGTCTGGGCAGTCCTGGCTTTGGGGTCCTCTGTGCAGCTTGTGCATTTCTGTGTTTTGTTTTACAATAAAAAGATTTGTTATTGTTCGGTTGTTTCTTGTTTTAGTTAACGGCTTTAGGTTAGTTTGCCTTGGAGAAAAGTAACTGGTTATTTACTTAGGAGCTCAGGTTTTCTATCCAAATCATGGGGCTGCTGTGACCTGTGGCATAGATGCCATCGGGGATGTGCCCTGCACTGACTAGTGTCTGGTCCGGTGTGCGTGGTGGCTGTGCCAAGGACAGCAGCTTCCATGTTCCTGGTCAATTCTCTTCTCCAGGAGAGAATCTGAGGTGGTTCCAGTGAAAGCTCTGTCCCCTGTGGTGTGCTGTCTGTGACCTGTCCTGCCTTCAAACAGAAGCAGCCAGACTCCCACTCCCACCTTGCCTTTGGGCTTAAGAACCTGCCAGCAGGACCCAGTTTTTTGACAGTGACAAAAAACTCATCATGAGCCCTTACCGTGTCTCTTTGCACTGCCCCCAGCCATGTTATGTCCAATTAGAGACATGAGAGAGAGAAGAACCTGCTCTCTGCCCTCTCAGGGCTCCTTCTGAGAACCAGTGAGGGACGAGAAACCTGGGGTCACTCCTGATGGAGAGAACAGGGGCTGCAGAGACAAGGGGGACCCTGCGGCTCCGTGTGTAGAGCCATCTCATTTTTACTGAGTGCATGTTCAGTCCCAAATTGAAAGTTAAGTCCTTGTCTGGCTGCCAAGCCCTGCCCTTTCCACCTTGCCAGGCCGGTGTACTAGTTCGATCCCACATTGCTATAAAGAAATACCTGAGCCTGGGTAATTTCTAAAGAAAGGGGTTTCCATGGATGAACCTGGAAGCCATCATTCTCAGCAAACTGACACAAGAACAGAAAATCAAACACCACATGTTCTCACTCATAGGCGGGTGTTGAACAATGAGAACACATGGACACAGGGAGGGGAGCATCACATGCTGGGGTCTGTCATGGGAAAATAGGAGAGGGACAGTGGGGGGTGGGGAGTTGGGGGGAGAGAGATGGGGAGAAGTGCCAGATACAGGTGATGGGGAGGAAGGCAGCAAATCACACCACCATGTGTGTACCTATGCAACAATCCTGCATGTTCTCACATGTACTCCAAAACCTAAAATACAGTAAAAAAAAAAGGGGGGTGTTTCATTGGCTCACCATTCTGCAGGCTACTGGAAGCATGGCGGCATCTGTTTCTGGAGAGGCCTCAGGGCGCTTTCACTCATGGTGGAAGGCAGGAGAAAGAGCAGGGGGAGGTTGCCACACTTCAACAACCAGATCTTTTGATAACTGACTCGCTAT